ACACACTATTCAATTAAAAACTGAAGTAGTTAAGGTAGAGCTTGACTGTGTTTTGTTGTTTTTTTTCAGGATGGGTGAAACCAACACACAGATTGTAACGGGATGTAAAGTTTGTAATGGGATAAAAGAGAGGACATTTGGTGTTGACTACAGAATTGCAAATGTCACGAGACAATGTGGCAATGTGCCCTTTTCAGATTTTTAGGGTTCTCTTGTCAGCTAATACATTTTGCTTCTGACGGTGTTTAGGTGAAACGACATGAGATTGGACTTTCAAAAATTCCTCTCGTCTGATTGGTTGCGTTAATCATTACAAACGAGATCCAAATAAACAAAGATAAATAAATTAAAATGATCCTAATTTTCTATTTGTTCTGACTCTGAATTGTTTTCTGAATGTGCTTGGATCAAAGGGACCAAAGTCTTTATTTATATCAGAATCTTTTCATTTCAAAGAATCGTTTACTTTCAATTCAAGATTTCCACATTCAAAACTCCCTTTTGAAAACAATTGATTTTAAATAGTCTCTCCCCAAAGAGCCAATGGGATCATTTCTGCCACCATAACAGAAGTTCAGCTGAACAAACCTCTACAGGAGGAATGAAATCTTGAATCAGTGTGTGTGTGTTGGTGTTGGCTGTAAACAAGGTGGTTTGCTACTGGGAGGCTGAAGGACTGTCAACATCTCTGGTTATTAAGCTAACTGTGCCTTATTGTGCTACAATGACCGTTATAAAAAGAGTTTTCTGAACACGCTAAACATGATATTGTGTTGCTCTAACATTTAAGTTTATTCTCTTCCTCTTTTGTCTGCATGTTTACAAAGCATTGCATTCTTTGATTTTTATATAGATAATTAACGTATATAGCTGCTAATACAAAATCAACTCCTGTCTGTCTGTTCACCACATTAAGACATATGAACAAATAAGCTGTAAGACTGCATAAGTAGAAATATCTAGTTTGAATATTGTTAAATTGTTAAATCTTTGGCAGTATTTTCTTATAATGTGTTGACAGGATGCAGATGTATCTTATTGAACACAGTTAAGTGAGTTGAACCTCTGTACTGTAGCTTGTCTCAGCAGTGACCTCAGTCCATTATGTCCTTCCAGTAGCAGACATAGTGTGTGATTTCTCATCAGGGCTAAATGGCATCAAACCATTTTATTTCAGATTGTGTCTCCACTACCTCTGCAGCCGTCATGTCAGAGTGAGGACTACACGGGTTTGAAAACTGATGTGTTTTTTTTGTTTTGTAACTGTAATATGAAGAGATCATCTATCACAGTAGGCTAAATAAATAAAATATATGTCCAAATAAGCCTTAGTCGCATGACTCTGTTTATAATTTCAAGTCTTAGATTTGGAATGAGCTGCTGGTCACTTTCTAAAACATGACTTTACCACATGTTTCATCTGTCACTATTCAGAGGGGTCTCATATGAGTGTGATGACAGTCAGGGGAAGAGTAAACAAGTAAAATGCCCAGAAAAATAAATCTTATCTGTTACCTTACATTTTACTGTAGTCAAAGATAAAAAGTTGAACATGCAATTGATAAATTATGTTTAATTAAAGCCCAACTTCAGACTAGATGAGCAATTCCTAGTACATACTAAACCTAACCCACCTCCAAACAGGTATTGTGGGATGTGAAACCAAAACAATTAGCCCAAAGACACTAAAATGCCCGGTGGAGCTGAGCTATATTGCACTGCAGCAATATATTACTCATAGTAATTGTTGCCGCTGTAAATAATAATGATTAGAATTGACCAGAAATGTAGAATTTGTATTTGTATTGTCAGCATCATGTCATTGTACCTCTGCTTACAATACTGACTTCTTTGATACTACCACAAGGGGAGCCAAAGATAAAGATTTTCAAATTCTACTGCGGTGGCTTTAATTAAGACGAAGGTTAGAGTTACAATTTTCAAATCACAGGGATTGAAGTGCTTTCATCAGCCAGTTGCTAATTCTGTGTGTCGTCATTAAAGTTCTGGGCTGGTAGCACACAGTGAGTTCATCAGTGAGTGAAAACAGCTGCCTGATGGAAAGGATGATGAAAAACATTGAAGTTGTGTGTCAAATCAAAACAATGAGCTAAAAAGGCAAAAATACTGTAGTGCTCGGGGCAAATTCAATCTCTGTGGCTTCACTATGAGTGACCTATATCTTACTCATTTGATCAATTGCTAATCTATGAATATTGATCAGTGCGTGACAAAAAACTGATAATAATATTTTTACACAGCTCACTGCGACACATGGATCCATCTCAAACCAAAAATGTAATGATCAAGCACTGCTATTATTCTGCTACTTAGTTTTATAATATATTTACTAGATATTACTTAATGTTATGACGTAACTTCTAGTTTTGAATCACCTATAGGCGACTGTTCATTTGGGAAAGATCTGGCAGGCTGAGAGTCAGTGGGACCCTTTTAATCAACAATTTTGAAAACATCCTCACAACTTCTAATCACACTGGCCCTCCAAAAATGTTAACAAGATAATTCTTGTTATGAAAACATTTGGCCTTCACTGTTTGTTTTGGTGTTTTTTTATATGACAGCATAAATGTCTTTATTCTGTAAATGTATCAAAAAACTACATGTATTGTATTAAAATCCCGGAGAGGCCACATGGAAAAGCAAATGTATACATCTCTATTCAAGCAAATGATTACAGTGGGAAATTCACTGTTTAATCACCACTGAATAAATCAGATATGCTGCTGACAGATAGGAAAACAAAAGATGAAGTAAAAGCAGAATTTCCATGGCGGAGGTAATAATCATTTAGCAAGTCAGCACAAAGAATAACCATATCTGTGTGTGCGTGTGTGTGTGTGTGTGTGTGTGTGTGTGTGTGTGTGTGTGTGTGTGTGTGTGTGTGTTTGTTTCCATTAGCAGTCAGCACACAAGATCACCTGCATGGAACCAGCAGCTCTCATTACAATCAACCCCCTCCGCTCTCTTCCGGCCTCAAACCCACTGATAATCAAGCACAAGTCTGCCATTAATTCTGCCCAGTGACCAATCCCAACCCACATTTTAAATATGCAAACCAGACCGCCACCGCATCCCCCCTCCGACCCTCTGTCTCATTGGTATGCAACGCTTTGGTGAGGCTGCGCGTGCCGATGATGGCTGGAGACCCTCAGGCGGAGTTTGAGGCTAGATTTTAATGGGGCGGTAAGGGTCAACAGGAGAGGAGAGAACAATAAGCCTCCCCGGTTCCCTGTGATAGGCGTTTCAGCAGGACCAGGCCCCCCATGGGGGGAACCTGTTGGGGTTTGAATGCAGAATAAGTTGACCTTCAAAACAGTGTCAAACTCTATTCCCTGTAAAGCTGCAGAGTTTCAGGTTGGCTGCCTTTGAGTCCTGGGGCTTGGCAGTTATCTGTCGCATTGGCATACAAGCCAACCACATAACATGTTGTGATAATGGGTTAAATACTGAAGGGACGTGGGCAGCTCAGTGGAGATGTGACAATTCTTTTCATCTGGATATTTAGCTGGTAATTGCATCACATCTATCTGCTCCTAATACCATTCATTCCTCTGATATCCTTTGCTCTCTGTGTCTTTCACGTGTGCAGAATTAGCTCACTCTTTTTATATTGCAGTTGTTTCACTGGTGCTCTGTCTGTAAAAGTAGATCTGGATGGGAGAAAGAGCCATAACATAGATGCTTATGTTAAAATCTGGGAAAAGTGGAACCACTGATTGTGTTTATTGTCTTTTATTTCTGATGTATTTCATGTTTTCTGCTTAGATGAACTTAAAGATGTGCATGAATGCTCAATGGACATGTTTTCTAGACACTTGACAGGAAAATAATTATTTCTTGGTACCACAGACGGATATTTTGCCTGACAGATAAAATAAATGGAGCACAGTGTCAGTTCTGATAGAAGGGAGACATGGAAGTCGCACTCTTCGTGTCTATCAGCTGACTAGTAATGTCCAATCATATAAATAGATGTGTGCAGCCTTTATAGTTATCAAAGAACAGCTTGTACTGAAACAACCTTCTCCTTTTGTGTTATATTTTTGCTGATCTAAGATTTCATGTCATTCATGATGTGTGTCATGACACGACAAAATATGAGGAAGACACATGATAGTAAGTTGTTTATTTAAGAATTAAACATCCAAATGAACTAAAGATACTATGGGATGTGGTCATATGCATGAGTGTGGTGTGCAGAATGAGATGTTGAAAGCAAAGTGTAATGTGCTGGGGAGAGAGTCCGGGACGGAAAAGGTTGCTTCTCATAGGCTGAAAGCAACGGGCCCAGGTGCTTCCAAACTAGGTCACCAGCATGACTCCACCCTCTGGATACACCTGCCACACGGGGAACAAACACAAGAATGGGCTGATTAAACACAGATAAACATTAAGATGAACCAGGCGACCATCACATGTGTGATTAGGTCTTTAATCCTCTCTGCTGCTCAGATTTGCAGTATTTTGTTTTGTCATTTTCTGAAACCAACAATCTGACAATCATGTCTTCCTCACCAGCAACTGGACACATGTGAAGGTAATGAAGCAGATCAGGATTTGAACTGAATCTCTCACTTCTCTTCCAATGTAGATTAACACCATAAATGTCTTTAAGAACAGAGTTTCCAAAAGTGTGGGCAGTCGCCCACTGTTTTACGATTTGTTGTCATGACCTGTGACGCTTTTCACGATTCAGACCAGATGAACTTGTCATTAGATGTGGTCGTCCGTTGAAAATGTTTTGTACTGCAAATTAGTTAATTTCATTCATTCCCTGTGTTTTTAAATTGTTGCAAACTAAAGAGCTAACTATCAGAGCTAATTATTCTTTAAATTAAATTCCATTGTGTATTTCTGACCTGCTACACTCATTCAAATACTATTTGCAAATTGATTAAGTTTTGACCTAAACGTCTCAACTTACTTTCGTCCTGAGAGCAGAATGATTGTGTTAGTGCTGCTCTCATGTCCCTCTGTTAAATTTGAAGCTGGAGCTCAGCATTAGAACTGGACACAGGGAAACAGAACTATTTCTTATCACAGTGCAATCAGTTTTTTCAAGAAAGCAGGGACGCTGGAAGTCAGTGAGAGTTGGGGGTGCTGAGAGGCCGCATTGTTTTAGAGCATTTTAGAATACAGCAGACATCAAACCTGACCAACAACATCCTGCACATCAAAGCAGGATGACACCATATTCAGCTATGGACAGTTAACAGATTTTCACAATTTATTGATGACTGAGTCTCAGCCAGGCTAAACAGGTACAGCAACGAAGTTAGCAGAGTTTTGCCCACCGTTACCGCCTTAGAACCATCCGGAGGAGGGGTCATAGTGACGTTAGCATCACCTAGCAGCTGCTGCTGTACGGTAGTGACACCTAACACACCATTGCCAATCACCGATATCAGTTTATATAAACATATATATTGAAAATTAAATCCAATGTCATTAAAAATGCGAAATTAACCCCTTAGTAAGCAACTAGGATGAATTGACTCTGTATTGTCGAAAAAATGTTTTTCATTAATTTGTTGAGTAAACTTTTCTTGCAGCTACAACCCATTGCCAGTAGGGAGTGCTGCAACACCCTCAGCACCCCTACTTCCAGCGTCCCTGCGAGAAAGCGAATAAATGATATTTCCAAATTTATTAATTTGCAAATCACCAAAATATTTTTTTGCTTTTCTGTAAGACAAAACGTTTGTAACAAAACTTGAACCAATGAAAAATGTATTCCTACATGTTTCTTTGTATCAGCTCCCCTCACATCAGAGGTGAATGTTATAAACTGGTATCCGGCATGTACAAAGCCAAAGTAGTCGCCCTCTGGTATTATAGAATATGCACTGATGCTATAACAGAGGAAAATCTGCCCTGGATGAAAGCTGCTCTCTAAGCATCCTTTTAAAACCTGTTATCGCACTGAAACAGCGGCCGAACTGAACCAATAAACGGCGGCCCAGAGGCGTTCTGACCCAAACCGGACCTCAAACCGTCATGCCCAAAAGCTACAAGCTGCTCTAGTGTCTCAACAAGACACACATTAACCTTTTCTCCGTTATTTTTCTGTGGAGATCTCCCACTTTGAAGTGCTTCTATTTAACCTTCATTTAACTTTTGTGTCATGCGCTCCCAGGCGCACCGTTTTGACAGCAGAAGCCTTTAGAAGTCAGAAAAGGCCCGAGGCTATAGATGGCATATCAGCACATCTGTCTGCTGCGGTGCCAGTGTGTGAAGTGGAGAACTGGCTTTTTCGTTCTTCTGCGAGCGATCTGCCACTTACTAACTGGATCTCGCCAAGGCTCAGTGTCAGGAAGATGCTTCGGAAAGAATCCTGAAGTTACAGGGGCAATGAGTCCGATCTTTACTGGAAATGATTCAACAACAGTACAAACACACCAGCCTGAGCCCCACAAAGTGTCTTTGAAAAATGCTGAGTCTGTTTAGCATGAAAATGAAAATTGAAAAGAAAGTTTGATTTAAAACTGCATTAGTAGATATTCTCTCCACTTGGGTTCAAACAAGCTGAACAACTCTGGCACCTTATCACCTTCAAGTTGTTCCAGGGGGCATGTTAGCTAATGGTTGACTTTTTACACATCTAGCAGATACTGAGCAATGTTATGAATGTATCACAGATACTGTTCTGTGCATGAGTACAGTTTTGCGCTCATGAATCATGTGACTATTGACAGATATAACGTTTAACAACAAGGACGACCATTTGGCGGATTTGAACTAATGCTGCGGCTGAAGACAACAACCTCAATTTTGACTTTCAGGTGTGAAAATACAATTATTTTTCTTGTCAACTCACAAAGTCCAGTTTCTCTATGACCCTGGTTGAAAATTCTAGCTGCTAAATGCTACATTGCTGCTGTACACTGTTGTAATGTTGATTTTCTTTGTCAAAAGACTTTGGCTGTGACTTCTACATTTACCATGGCTCCAGGCGACTGGCAACTTCCCAGAGATCTGCCGGGTTGAGGGGGAGGAAAAAAGTCAGTATGACCCTTTTAATTGGCAATTTTAGAGTTGAACTGTACAATTTCTATTCACACATGGCCCTCCAAAAAATTTTAACAAGAAAATTCCTGTTATGCCTTTGAAAACATTTGGCCTTCACTTTTTGTTTTTTTCTTTTTGCACTTTTCTTCATCAGTTTTTATTATTTATTATTAACAACATTCATTTCTTCATCACACAAATGTTCCACAAACATTGTGCCAAATATTAATTAAAACTGGTTTTACATATATTGTTTCATCATCGTGTTATATATTTATGAAATGATTCATAGCTCTGATCTTTCCAATGATATTTATAATTTCATTTTTTCCAGACTGTTAATATCAGAATGACTCACTGTGGGTGACAGACTGTCTTTGCACAATCTTACTGGAGAAAATCAACTGGGATTTTAACACAGACCCCAGATTTTCCATCTAATTGCAGTTTTTATAGTTCATAATGGACTTAGCTAAGTCTTTCAAACGGCAACTTTGATTTGTGTTACACTGCTGTGTGTGTGTGTGTGTGTGTGTGTGTGTGTGTGTGTGTGTGTGTGTGTGTGTGTAGCATCATCTGGCTCTGGAGGGAATAATGAGTCTGGAAGGGAAATGTTTTTTTGAGCATGTGAGGTTGTGACAGGGTTTCTCTGGCTTTGGCAGAGATAAAGTCAGACAGTGAAGATCTGCTTTGCTGCTTTGATCTGGCCCGCCTCTCCACTTAACTTCTGATGACACTGCACTTAGAGGGGGCACCGGGAACGTGGGGCCTTCCCTCTGACTTTTGCCTGAGATGCTCTGAATATTGAACCCATATGGAAACATGGAGTGTCTCAGCTGCTAGCACATTATAAACAAGACATTGGCAAAACAATACAAGGAGGACAAGACCAATATGTAAGATTAGTGTTGTAATTATTACTTTTATCTTAACGATCTAACCACTATGATAATAATCTCATCATTACAACACTAATCTTACATACTACTACTTCTACTACTATTAATAATCATAATAATAATAGTAGTAATAATAATAATAATATTGATAATCCTGGAGAAGAAATAACAAATTAAATAAAAGAAATAAAAAAGAGGAAAGAAGAAATAAGTGTGTTGATACTTATCCTCATCTCTTTGACTCCAATGTCATCTATGACTACAGCAAATAATAAGCACTGCTATTATCATCATTACAATCACAGATAATAATGACAATAATTATAATATTTTTTAATTACTTATTGTCATAAAAATGTCAATTAAGTCGTGATGACAGAAATGTTCAGGCCGGACAAATAGGGTAATTGTTTCATTCTGTTGTTGTGGCTATGATATTTTACTTATTTCTTTTTTTGGTTTTGGTTTTGTTTTGTGACATTTTTTTCCCCTTGACTGATTGGTCCAGCTCTGAGCTGCCCCCCCAAACCCTTACTGGAGGGAGCGGAGCCATGTGGGTTATTTCTCAGACCCAGAGGAGGCTGCCAGTGTTACAGCTCAGCACTGTAACACAGTGAGACGCGTCTGATTCTGTCCGCTCATGTTGAGCTTTTTTTTTTCCTGCATGGCCGTGCACCACATGCAGACACAGAGCTGCAGCCTGCACATAGAGGGCACTCTTGGCATGTTTTTATCTCTGCATTCCCACCATGTAATACCACTGGGAAGTTATTTATAGGTATAGCTTCAAAGGAGGAGAGAACAAGTTCCATCAAAGTGATTTTGCATTTGTGCGAGACTGCTTTGCGTCCTTTGTCCACATCTCCATGCACTGTTTCCTAATTTCGGTCATTAAAGAAGAGAAAGTTCCACGATGCTACATGTTGGATCTGATAACTCCATAAGGTCTGAAACGTCTCTGTTGCAGTGAGGTAGTTAAGTACATCCACACAGACGGAGGATTCTTGTTTTATTTTGGACAGCTGGAAGAAGAAACTGTGTCATTGTCACACACAGTCTCTCTCAGAGAGTGGGAGGCAACATTTGTGGACTCTTGTCAGTGCTGAGGGGGATTTTTTATTTTCTTTTTCTGTACTTTTTGGTTTATGGACAGATTTTTGTGCTGGAGAACTGTCAGCCTGACTGTGAATTAGTGTTGGGTATAAAAGCTCAAAAACAAGAAAACAAACTCTTTGGGATCAATCATCATCAGTCATCATGTCACCCTCTGCAGCCGGCTGTACAATCACTGATTATACTCTTCATCAAGCTCTGTTTTTTTATTTCGGAACAAGTCAGCTGTCCAAAGTTTAGTCACCATCCCACAGCACAACAAACAAACAAGGCCGTGGGAAAGAAGACAGGCAGCTCCCACCGGTGAAATGCTGAAACAGGTTGTCCTCAGAATGTTGTGTTTCTGCTTCACAGGGAAATTAAAGAGTTTGATAACTGAAGATTAGACTTTTCGTTTCTCTTCATTTTCTGAGACATGAAGATTAGCTTGAGCTCTTGTCATTTTTGCAGAAGCGAGACGCAGGTTTTTAAAGGTTGTTTTTTTACATTAAACGGCCGAAACAGTGAAGGAAAATATTAAATCAGGCCAAAGAAACTAAAACAAATGGAAAAACATCAAAACTCTCTACTGGGAAACTGCAGAGGTGATAATTCTCAGTGGGTTAATCACCACAAGTGAACCCTATGATCTATTTTTAATATTTAAGTAATTAATATAGCAGCTTCAAGTAAATGCTCTGAATAATTCTAACGCTGATTCATCTTGTTACTTTGTGGCTTAGTAAAATAAGTAAAAATAAGTGAGTAGGAGTTTCTCTGCTCAACAGAAAAAACAAGCAGCAGACATCATTAGTTGGAATTGTCCCTAATGAACTTATTGTTTTGTTTGTAGTTAATTTCTATTAACAATGATGGTTTAGTAACAGACACCAAGTTTCAAAGAGAATAAGAGAAATGAGACAATGATATTTGCAGACAATATATTAAAACAATCAGAATATTGAAGGAGACAGTAAAGTAGGACAGGCAGGAGCTGGCGGGACACACACCAGGAACTGTGGAGAGCAAACAGCATAACAAATAAGACCAGAAACAAAAAAGACATCAAGCAAAAAGCTGCAGTCTGCTGACATCGAAACATCAGAAAACTCAACAACCTCTGCAGATATATGCAGATATATTTCATTTCTCAACTGACACATCATCACAGTTTGGTGTTTAGTCAATTCAACCTTTATTTAGTCCAGTTTGTTAACACTCAGAGACAATGATGCAGGGCTGGATATAGGGACGGCTCCTGGGTGGCACCAGCCCAACCCCTACAGACCTAACGAGGAATAACTTAATGGGCACCTTACTGAATTAGGAATTTAATGTTGGACGTACACCAGTCATGGCTCCTGATTCAGAAGCGGAAAATAATATGTCAGAAAGCAAATACAGAAATAATGATAACCAATCCCTATAGTTGAAATATTGCTATCCTCATCCACAGACCACAGAGTTTGACTGGCTGCTGTAACACTGCTCTGCTTTTTCCAAAATCTCATCCCTGAATATTTATTTTCTATCATGTAAGAGGCCCACACGACTGGGAGATAAATCCCAGCCAGGGTGCAAGTGTGGAAAAATAAAACCTCAATCTCACACAAACCAACAAACGGATTCTGTCTTCCTTTCACGCCCTGATGTCATTAATCATGTCCTTCACCCGACTGCACGGAGATAGTTTACTGACAAAGTCGAGTAAAAAAAGAAGTAGGGCACTTATTTTCGGTATTTAATTACTATTAAACTGCTGACGTCCGAGCTAATACGCCACGAGTCACAGCAGTTTCTCCGACGCCTCTCGTCCTCATCTGTCTGACCAGCTGCCCTGCAAAGACTCCTCGCAGTGTCTGTCTCTGCTCTAATTTATAACTCAGCTGCTTAACATAAAACCATAAAAACACTGTGATCCGGCAAAGTCTCCACTCACAAAGCATGTGCATTCGTGTAATTATTCAGGATATTAATTGGAAGCAGATGTACAAACATCAGAGGCTGAGGTGTGCACAGGCCAATCCTGATCTGCCTCTCATATCATTACGGTCGTCCGCCCTGCAGGAGCCTCACCACGGGAAGTTTGGAATCCGCAGGAAGAGTTCACTTCAGGCTCGGGTGCCAGCACGTCTCCAGCACTTCTTCTCCATCTCTCAGCCTACAAAAACCTGCCTGGCTTCACTTAACGTCACTTCACATCATCATACTGAGTCCTGACCGTTGGATGAATTCAGGGAGGGTTTTTTCTGACATTTCCCAACGTGTCTCGCTGGAATGCAAACACACAGGTTTCAGCAGGACACAAGGATGCTTTAATCACAGAGACATCTTCTCTGACGAGCAGGCCACCCCCTGACCTATCACACTGCAGACGGCTATACTTAGGCATAGCCTGTCTTCGGGGCAAGGTTACACAGAATTCATAGAGCAGCAGGCTGCATCTTTCATGCCAGGACGTGAGGTAAAAAAGGGTCACCGGTCTGGGCGTCCAGTCAGAGGGAGAGCAAACACTGACTTTCTTTCGCTCTGTGAAATGAAACTGCATCAGGTACTGATGGACTTCTGAGCTTATAAATATTTATAATCCTGATACAGGTTTTTTCCCTTTGTTGTGTGAGTTAGCTGGATACTTGTTGTTCTGCTTGTTTTACAATATGTCTGCGTCTGCAATCTGCAAATGTTCCATAACTTAAACCCCCTGAAAAATACTTTACTAAGCTTGTCAGGACAGTGTGGATGTGGTTGGATCAGATTGGATTGAGGGTCAAATGGTAAACTGACTGTATGTGTATAGTTCTTTTCTCATCTTATCGACTTAAGTGCTTTACAATACGAGCTACATTCACTCATTCACACACACATTCATACTCCACTATATGCTGCACTTTTTCTATCGCACACCATTCATACACTGTTGGCTCAGCGCTCAGATGAAATTTGGGGTTCGGTATCTTGCCCAAGGACACTTTGGCATGCAGATCAAACCACAGACCGTCTGGTTACTGGATGACCCGCTCTACCTCCTGAGCCACAGCCACACATGGCATCGCTTTTGGCAGCGAGTCCCGCCCACTTCAAACCAGTGAGAAATCATCAACACCACAAATCCTGTCTGAGGAATTATTCTTCCACCAAGGTTTCATGGTAGTTGTAGTTTATTGTGTTGCTGCTAACTAGCAGAAAGACAAACGCAGACGAAAACACAAACACTTTGGCGTAGGTAATTATCGCAGATTTGTGACAAGACACAAACACTTCACATCGAAACCTTCACACAGTTGCTTTCTCCCTGTTTACTTCGTGCATACACTGAGGCATTTTTAGAAGAATCCAACTTTAAAGCTAAAGCTATGGGGGGGGGCAGTTTAGATTATCTTCTGGGAAAAAAGACAAATCTCATGGGAGTCATACAGCGAAGAGGGTGATACTATCAATACACTTCCTTTGTGATTTCAGCATATCTCTTCACTAATCATCTTCCTCTTGGCAGAAGTAGAAGCCACTTCAGAGTAATGAACACCTCTCTGTTCATTACATAAAGAACAATAGAGCATAAAATGAATCACTTTCAGTGTGTTCCTCAAACGAGTTCAGAGACAGAGCTCTTTCTCTGCTGCTGCTGCACGGAATCCTCCAGCTCCCGCAGCAACATGGTTCCTAATGGCCGAGCGAGCGTGCTACTTCAGGAGGTCAGGAAGCATCGATGACTTCCCCTCCTCAAGTTTACTCCCCGGGAAGAGGACCAGCTCTTTCCTTCAACCTCTCTGCCTCTTATGGATCTGATGCTCTCGTCTCCCACCCATTAGCTTGCCTGTCGGTAACACGGCCTCCCTGCAGACCTGCTCCCGCTCGGCTCAGCTCAGAGAGGCCAGCGGTGGAGTTAAGTGAAGGTGGGAAAATGTAGAACTTTGTATTCACCTGCGATAGGGTGTGGAGTCAGTGCTCGGCGAACATTTATGAATACAATGAAGCTGTGTGAGTTGAATAGTCTAATAAAAGGTTCAAGGAATAACATGAGCACAACTAAACACAGCAGAATCAGTTATAACATAATTCAAAGTCGAGAAACAACATTATCAAACACAGGATATAAGATCTATATAGGAACGCAATGCAAATAGGATATCAACCATGAGCAATCACAGTGTGACACTAAATGTATAATCCATGGAATGAGTGCTGCTTGTTGTATATTGTAAAGAATTTAGACAAACTGCACAAGAGCACTACTTT